GCATGAGCACCCGCCCAAGAAAAATCCCATAGGGCTTGCTTCCAGGGAGGGGGGGGGGGGCTTCATGTGCGCAATACATTGTGAGGACCCGCTTTTCAGTTAAAATAATTTGAGTATCCCCCCCTCTTAGATTTGAGCGTATTTTACATAGAATATTGCTATAGGGAAATTTGAATCCGTTCACGACAAACCCTGCCTGGCTAGCTAGGGAAAGCAGTCAAGGGGCGAATCTTTGGGCAGATTTCTTGAACCAAACCACCCCCGATTGCTTCTAGTCAACATGCTGCACGACATGCCAGCGCACCACATTCACCATCCGTCGGAGTTGAAAACATGACTCGTGGCCTTCGTGATGGGTTCGCGATGCGAGGACAAGAATTCTGCTCACTGACCAGCGTATAGGAACCCATGTAAAGACTAACCTCCTAGATTTGAGCGTATTTTTTACATAGAATATTGCAATAGGGAAATTTGAATCCGTTCACGACGAACCCTACATGGCTAGCTAGGGAAAGCAGTCAAGGGGCGAATCTTTGGGCAGATTTCTTGAACCAAACCACCCCCGACTGCTTCTAGTCAACATGTTGCACGACATGCCAGCGCACCACATTCACCATCCGTCGGAGTTGAAAACATGACTCGTGGCCTTCGTGATGGGTTCGCGATGCGAGGACAAGAATTCTGCTCACTGACCAGCGTATAGGAACCCGAGTAAAGACTAATCTCAAACTACTGCATGGTAAAATAAACCAACTTATGTAGTAAGTTTGACGAATTCCAATGATCATGTAGCAACCAGGATCCCACTGCTGGCGTTCCTTGTCACATTCTAAGTCATAGAGAAAAAAATTCTCGTAGAAGATGCAATCTCAAACATACAAAACATTACGAGTTTCGTAGTCCATAATTATCCAGGAGTAGGAATCCTTGGGTACACCGAGGTGTATTCCCCATCGAGCCTGTTCAGTAAATCTGCCCACAGTTGCGCTCAGAGGTCTGTATTGGACCATGCAGCCCCAAACTCATAACAATCGAGTGTCGGCGGGGTGTTTTATCCACATGACGTGTGGCGAGCTGAACTGAGGGAGAGCTGTTGAAGGCAAGAAATTGTGTAGGCGGACAGCTTGTGCCATCGCAGGCGGCCAAAAATATGTTGTCAAACTAGACTATTGCAGCAGCATGCTTATCTTCTCTTGCAACGTCCTGTTAGTTCTCTCATCTACTCCATTCTGCTGATGGGCGTAACGCAGAGTCTTGCGTCTGGGTATTCCTTTCCGCGCCAGGAATTCATCGAACTGCTACGTTGAAGCTCTTGGCCGTTGGTTAGAAGGAGTGCGTCCTTGTCGAAAACTGAGGCTTTAATGGAGTTGTTGAGAGCTTCTTGCGAGGGATGACCTAACCGCTTGTGCTAGATTTCTGCTGTAGTCTTGTGTCCCTTTGAACGCAGGTACAAGTCGGAGTGAAGGAAGAAGGCCAGCGAAAGATGAATCGTTGGTGCAGGGTTAACGCAGTAGTTGGTGCCGAAAGCCTGGATGAATCTGGCTTCTTCTGCAGTTTCAGCTCGAGGTATGCCAAGATGTCGGCGATGTGCCCAAGCATCTGGTACGATTATCTCTTTCTTGCCCCATGTACGTTCAACCCCCATAGGTTCTTTGACTATAGCATATATCGGTTCTTAATTGTCGTAACCCCAATTTCCATCTCCAGATGCCCATGTACTTTGAACTGATTCTGCTGCGACTAATGTTGCTTGTGTTGGCTCTGCTGCAGGTTCATCGAGGGAGTTGGTGCGGGAAGGTTGAGGCGTGATGCAGAAGACATTGAGACCACGGTGGTCTTGGCATTGAAGATCGGTTTCCTAGTGATGGTGCAAAGGGGTGAGTGAGACGTTCTTTTGACTGTCGCCTGATGCTTTCACAGTGAAAACCGTAGAAATGAAACGCCGTCATTAATTTTTTATGATGCCGAATAAATTGCTTCTGTCTTCCTTCTTGTCACCCAGGTACAATTCCGTGAGCATCGTGTTCGCGGTGCTGACGAAACACATGTCGCTGTCCATTAGCTGCGCTTGTGATAGCAAGTTGAAGCCGAGTCCCGTGGCGACAAGAACCTTGTTAAGGTGAAGAGAGACTTCTGAATTCTCGGACTCGAGTATCACATCTCCGATTCTGGTTGCTTCAATAACTTGATTGTTGGCAACCGTGATGTTGTATTTCTCTCCTTTTGGCAGGTCTCGCCAGTTGAGAAGACGCCATGTGGTGACCGCAGCAGCTATCAAGAAACCAAGTATTAACGTGTTCGGGATACGTACGCTTAACGATGTGGGTGTACTGCTGCACGTTCAACCGTCGAGGAAACCCATTCGGCTGCTCTGGTTCTTCTTCATTAATGACTGCTACTTCTGGAGTTTCTGTAACGAGGACAAAGACGTGGAGGTACGTTGGCTGCTCCTTCTTCCATGTCACTGTCGCTGTCATTGTCTGGTTCGCTCCAGTAGCGTATACCACTAGATCGGTGTGGTCCACTCATGCAATGAATGATTGCCTTCCCTTTTGTAGGGTGAGTTGAGGAAGCTGAAGACGGCGAGATAGTCTTGACAGGGGCGGCTTCACCTGATATCTCTCGATTCCCGTTCCTCAGTTTCTTACACTCTTCAATGCAATGACCTGCTCGCTTGTAGAACTTGCAGAAACCCAGCACATTCATCTCCAGGGGCTGAAGGCCTGGCGGCAACATCAGCTCTTGCATAACTACAGTTATCAATGCTCATAGAAGCTGAAGGATGCGCTGGAGCTTGTTGTTGTTGCTGAGTAGACTGATTAGCTATCAAAGAAGCGAAGTCAGATAAATCGCCAGTAGATAGACCAGAAGTAGGAGAATTCGTAGTTCAATTTCCTATCTTAGCAGCTGACATAATTATAGATCTATGACGTAAGCTTAAGGGCATAATCGAAATGAGCTTGTATTGGTTCCTGTAACTCCACTAGCTCAGAATACCATGTAGAAGTGAACCACGTGTTTAGGGTGGCCAGGATCTATAGTTGGTGGAACCACGAGTAGAAAGTTAGCGAAAGACTTCACACCTTGCATTGGAAATGTCCGAAGTGACAAGGATAATAATAATGAGTAATTCAGACATATTTATAGTCTAGGAAGTACCTATTCAGATGTAACTGTTCGTAGTGTATCGCGACTATTCGCGTGACATGACAAGTGACTGTTCTTATGACTGAGAGTGGCATGACCCTTTGGGTGGGAGAAACTGAGATTGTGTGGGCGGCAGGAATCGAGGTGGCATGGAGGGGGAGGGAGAGGGGGGGGGGGGGGGGGGGGGAGACTGACATGGCAGGGGTGGGGGGGAAGGCGAATGTGTTAAAGGAGAGCTTAGGAGCTATGCATAGAACTAGCGAGAGGTTTAAGCTAGGATAGGAAAAACTTGATGAGAGAAAAGGGAGGCACTAGGAAAAAGGAGATACAAGAAGGGTTTTATACCCTCTACAGTAGGATCCAGTAACATCTACCAAGCCTACAATTATATATATAACATATATAATTTAATACACCCCCTAGGCTTGGTAGTCGAAAGCACACCACACACGCAACAACCCCAAAAACCTTGCACCCCCATGCCCTGCAGCAGCGGTGGCTTCATCAGCCCGGTCGACCTCTCGACGTGCGAGGCGGCGACGACAGCGGCGGGGGCGGCGGCGGCGGCGGCGACGGTACGACGACAGCGGCGGCTGCGACGGCGGGTGGCGGGGGAGCCAGCGGCACCTGCGGCATTGGCGCCGGCTTCGATGACGGCGACGGCGGCGGCAAAGACCGCGACACCCGGCGACGTGGCCCGGCTCGGCAACGACGGGGCGGCACGGCGCGAGACGCCATCAGTTGCGGCGGGGAGAAAAGGAAATGCAGAGGAAGGGGCGTGCCTTTAGCGAGGCGCCCTGGCTGGAGCACTGGCTGTCATGCGGGCATGCTGGCTGGCGCCTAAGACAGGGCACTGGCCGCAGCCGTCCGTGCGCTGGCGCGTCCGTGCCGCTGCGGCAGCGCGTCGAGGTCGGCACGGCAGCACGGCGAGGCCGCCACGGCTGCTCGACGAGGCAGCCACGCGGCGAGGCCGACATGGCACCTTGACGTGGCCGCCGTGGCAGTGCGTCGAGGTCGCTGTGGCAGCGCGGTGAGGTCGCCGCGGCAGCGCGGCGAGGTCGCCGCGGCAGTGCGGCAAGGCCGCCACGGCGGCACGGAAGTGACGGGAGGGGAGTGAGTACGCGGCGGAAGTGTGGGGAGCAGGCCCAAGAGGAGCAACCTGCTCTGAAACCATGTTAAAGGAGAGCTTAGGAGCTAGGCATAGAACTAGCGAGAGGTTTCAGCTAGGGTAGGAGAAAGTTGACGAGAGAAAAGGGAGGCACTAGGAAAGGAGATACAAGAAGGGTTTTATACCCTCTATAGTAGGGTCCAGTAACATCTACCAAGCCTACAATTATACATATAACATATATAATTTAACAGAATCTTGCCCTCTCAAAGCTTCCCCGCAAGCACGCGTCAGTCCCTAAATACAGTCAAGGGTCGACTCTGCCCTCACACAGCCAACAGCACATTTGGACTTGAGCCCTCAACTTGGTGAAGGGCCAGTCAGCGCCCTCACACAGCCTCCAGCACACTTCCTGCTGTGGTTTTGGTGAAGGGCCACTCTGCCCCCTCACACAGCCTCAAGCACGGACCAGGCGGTGATTTTGGTGAAGGGCCAATCACCGCCCTCGCACAGCACAGATGCGGGTTCTATGTCTGATTTCGGCGAAATCGGGGGGTAGGGGAGGGGGGGGGGGGGGGGGGGGGGGGGGAGGGGGAGGGAGAATGTAAATCTGCGAGGGGATCCCATGTGTGATTGTGTAAGGGTAAGCCTACATCACACTTTTTCGCATCAGGGTCCCAACACTCGACCACTCTGAAAAAACAGGATCCTGTAAAAAATTAGTTTTTCTCATAAGGGTCGAAAAAAATACGGGTCCAACTAAAAAGGTCATAAGGATATTTTACCCTGATAACGAGGACTCGTGCGTCGGCGTGCTATTGTCACGCGGCGCTTGCTTAGCACTCGTTTTTGGCTGTCCAAAAAGTGTTGGTAGGGGCAGCCAATCAGACGCGCCTGTGCAACGCTGAGGTGGCTGCCCTCGTTTCAGATGTTGGCGTAATAGACCAGGCAACGGGATCAATAATGGATTTGGCATTTTATATTCTGATCCTACCTTCGTAGGAATTCGCCCTTAGTAAACCGGTTATCTGATGAGTCTAGCACCATTGGAAACCAAGCACACGCTGTTTCTCCCCATATGATTACCAAGTTCCAAGCACACATTCCTGTATGAAAAATGAGCCCCCTCCCCTCCCCTCCCCTCCCTTTCCCACAACGAGCCTGTCACCTCATACAGACTGCTGCAATGTATTCACTGCAATTATGATGCTGCTGCTGCCACTGCTGCTGCCGCTGCTGCTGCCGCTGCTGGTGTTGCTGCTGGTGCCGCTGCTGCTGCTGCTGCATCATGCCTGGTCCGCCACCTGTGCCGACCTCTGGTTGCCCTGCCTTGCTTTCAGCTCCTGCTTGCACCATGTAGCATGGGAGAATATGAGACCAGAGAATATGGCGCATGGCATAGAACACATGGTATGCCACATAGGACATGGTACATGGCACAAAACACATGGTACAAGGCAAATAACACATGGCACATGGCATTTGGCACTTTAACAGAGCACATACACGGAGAGACAAGCATACCAAAGTAGCGTGGAGCAACAGCATCCGTTATCCAGCTTTCCTGACAAGTGCAGGCTCGTACATTCCCCAGAAAACAACCCCAACAATTCAACTCCACTCCACCCCTCTCCCAAAGCACGTGTGCACACACGCACACACACAACACACACAGACACGCAAACACACACACCGGCCTACCACCGACACAGACGCCCACACACACACACACGAACACACAAACTATCCTCCCAGGCAGCACCTTGTTAATGCGCGACAGGGTGCGGTCCTCCATGGCCTAGACTCATTTTGAGACATCTCAACATCCATTTTTTAGAATTCTAAAACATCTCAAATCAATGCCCGAGAAGGTGCTGAGCCTGTGCGGTCCTCCATGGCCCGGACTTCGTCCATCCAACACACCACCGCCTGGTTCGACCTCAAGCATTTCTGACAAGTGCAGGCATGGAGAACTCTTGCCAAATAACCCCCCAAATCCCCCAATCTCCCCCCCACCAACTCTCCCAAACACAATTGCACACACACTCACACTCACTCACTCACTCACTCACGCGCACGCACGCACGCACGAACGCACGCGCACACACGCACTCACTCACTCACTCCCGCGCACGCCCGCGCGCCCGTGCGCCCACGCGCCCACGCCCCCACCCACACACGCCCACACCCACACACACACACCATGCCCCCACCCACACACGCCCACACACACACACACCCACACACACCCACACACACACACACACACTCACACACACACACACACACACACACACACACACACCCCAGCAGTACCTTGTTAATGCGCGAGAAGGTGCGGTCCTCCAAGGCCCGGACCTGCTGCTCCGAGAGCCCCACCCACTCGTCCATCCAACACACCACCGCCTGGTTCGTCTCCAGACTCAGCCGCCGCTGCAGCACCTGCGAACACACAGAGAGGGACACATGCAGCCATGTGCGTGCACACATACAAATACACACATGCGCACACCCGCGAGCGCGAGAGCGACCGCGCGCGCAGACACACACATAGATGGACACACAGACTAACTGTTGTACGCGGCAAGGGGAATGGGGAGAGGTAAACGAGATATTGGGAGAGAGAAGAAAGCAGGGGGGAGGGACCGAGGGGGGGGGGGGGAGGAGGGAAGGGAGGGCGGGAGGGAGAGTTTTCAAGGAAATGCCATGATCCACCACAGCTGATTTTGGCAACGCATAGTTCCCAAAGCCTAGCACTCTTTCGCAACTTCCATCCCCAGGCCCAGCTGACATTGGCAATGTATTTCTCAAGTCGCGATCCGAAGCCCCAGTAGGGCACGTCCACTGTGACCACCTTGTAGGCCGTCATTATGGCGGAGCATGACGCCTGCAAAGGAGGGGGGAGGGGGGGGGGGGGGGGGGGTAAGAGTGGCGACTCTAAACCTTCAGCCCTGAACACCGTGTCCACCTTGTAGGCCGTCATTATGGGGGAGCATGATACCTGCAAGGGGGGAGAGGCAGGGGGGGGGGAAGAGGCAGCAAGGTTGCTTTTGAGTCGACTCTTAAGCTCACTGTGATCGCCTTGTAGGACGTTATTATGGGGGAGCATGATGCCAGAAGGGGAAGGAGGAGGAGGACGAGTCAGGGAGGGGGTGGCGGAGGTGGAAGGGAGGAGAAGGGGGGGTGTGGAAATAAGTGAGAGGAGAGGTCGGACGGGCAGGCAGAGAGAAATGGTAGGGAAGTTGGCATGGCTGCAGAAGGCAGGAGAGGAATAAAAAACCATGGTGATTGGGTGGCCTTGACTCGAAAGCATAGCTAACGTTGCACTGCACACCAGAACCGCACCCAATCCCACACCATAATGCGCATGTGCACGCGCACACACATACACACACACACGCGCGCGCACACACACACACGCACCGCGCCCACACACACACGCACGCACACACACACACACACACGCACGCACGCACACACACACACACACACACACACACACACACACACGCGCGCGCGCGCGCACACACAGACACACACACACGCACACACATACACACAATTTCACACTCCCACGCAAAGACCTCAGCACAGACACACAAGCTCTCATCCCCCTTTCCCCTTCCCTACCTGCCATCCAGGTGTGAACGGCCCTACCTGCCATCCAGGTGTGAACGGCCCTACCTGCCATCCAGGTGTGAACGGCCCTCTGCCAGTCTTGGTCGAAACAAACGTGGAGGGATGAGCTGATGCGACACCGCCACTGCCACTGCCACGACCGCCACTGCCACTACCGCCACTGCCACTACCGCCACTGCCACTGCCACTGCTGCTGCTGCTCCCCCCACTGCTACGTCGACTGGCACTAGCACCAGCAGCAGGAATACTTGCACCTTTCACACACGCACTGGTGGTGCCACCCGCCCCCTCAGCTCCCCCCCACTCCCCCCTCCCCAGCTTCCCCTCCCCCCTGCCCTCTGCTATGTCCAAGGTTTCCACTGTGCGGCGCGCCAGCACGTCAGGGGAGAGCGAGAGGGCCTGGGGAGATGCAGAATGGGGAGAGGGCGGGATGGGGGGAAGAATGGGGAGCGGGGAGGACGGGGGGAATGGGGAGAGGCGAGGACGGGGGGAAGAATGGGGAGAGGGGGGGATGGGGGGGAGAATGGGGAGAGGGGGGAAGGAGGTACCAGGGAGCATTTATGAGAGAACAAGGGGGCTGCAGATAAAACAGAGCAGCAGGCGTTGAGAAACTTGTTGAAAGAATGGTAACGCAATGTAAATTTGCGGACATGTGGTGTAAGGGAATGCATACAAAGGAGGAGGTGGAGGAGGGAGAGGTGGACTGACAAGGCGAGAGACAAGGATTGGGGTTAGGTGGGGCAAAGGGGGAGGGGGGGCAGGGCAAGAACGAGGAAAAGAAATTGAACGATGGGGGAGAGAGAGAGAGAGAGAGAGGGGAGGAGGGGGAAGGATGAGAAGAAGGAGGTGGGTGAGTACATTGTGCTGGGGATGGCGATCGTCGGTATAGAGGGACTCCACTCGCAGAAGGAACTTGCCGAAGAATGGGCTCTGAGGCGAGGGCAAATTCACAACAACAGAAGACATGAGAGGGACAGTTGAGACAGGGCAGTGGTGAGACAGGAGCGAATGACACAACACAGAATGGAGCGGAGGAAGAGGAAGGAGAGTTTTGAGGCGCCTCAAAACTATACTTCTATCACGCGGATGTTTGAGGCGCCTCAAAACTGGGCAGCGGTGAGACAGGAGCAAATGACAGAGCCCAGAAAGGCAGGGAAGAAGAGGAAGGCGACTGAGAGGAAGAGAATTGAATGCAGGAAACGAAGGGTGTAATGGAATTGTTTTGACGGAGGGTGGTGGCGTTTCAGAAAGCTGTGAGGTCTTTTGCATGTGAGAGGTAGTGGCTGTTGGCCTGTAACATCCACAGTGTCATTGTGTTAGAGTGCAGCCTTGTTTTTGGCGATAAACAGGGCCAGGGACGTGGGAAACGAGAGGGCTGGATGCCATATGATTGAATTTCACAGCCATCTGACAGACTCTGACTGCCATTTGACTGAATCTGACTGTTGTTCTTACAGTGATTTCTGGTCGTTCCAATGATGTTGATGATCACCGCGCAATACACGAACGATGATTGTGGCCGTTCCAAGTAGGATGCGCATTGCATCCGTTTCAACAGGTGCACAATGGGCAGAGAAACACACGGAACGGAGGGAGAGATAGTCAGGTGACAGGGGTACACACAGAGCTGGACGATGCGTCCCCACCCACCCCACACAGAGACTGCTTTCACGTGGTATAAGGTTGGTTTTGAGACGTCTCAAAATCAGCTGGACGATGCGTCCCCACCCACCCCACACAGAGACTGCTTTTGAGTCGACTCAAAAGCCCAATCACCCGCACACAGACTACCTCCATAACGTCCGACCGAATCCTGGTCAGCCACAAAAAATCAGGGGCTCATGCAAGGCAATTTAATTGCTCGACCAAGCAGACAGCACAAAGAACATCAACTCTCTTCATTAACCCCCTCCCTCCCACTTCCCTCCCTCTCTCCATCTAGCCTCCAAAACACGCCACTTCCCACCTCCTCTATCCTCACCAGTCCCCCATACCACTCATAAGAACTTCCCCCGTTTCTTTCTTCCTCAGAACCCCCCAGAACCTTCCGCACCCTTCCTTCCTCCCTCTTCGCTCTCACCAGTGGGGCAATGCTGGTAGTAAGGAAGGATCCAGGACCTCTCTCCTTCACTTGCAATCCACTTCAAAAACGGCTGACTCAAAAGTCACCCATAGCCCCCTTCCTCACTCCCTCTCTCCCTCTCTCCCCCTCGCCCCCTCTCCCCCTCTCCCTCACCAGTGACGCAGTGTGGGTACGCATTCCACGACCTCTCCTCCACTCGAAGGGCCCGCCGGGGGATAAGAGCCGCCACCCAGGAGGGAAGCTTTCTGCGGAGGGAGGAGGAATTGGCAAGAGACATGGGAAGGACAATAATCCCTTTAAACGTGCGACCTGGAAAAAGGAAAGCGGGTGGGGGATGGGAAAGGAAGAGGTTGGGGTGGGGGAGTAGGGAGTGGGGAGGCGCGGCAAAGCATGCAGGCTCATAAAAGTGGCATACACACGCACATATGTACACCACGTGTACACAAGGAGAATCGTCCCATGTGCTCGTGAGAACCGATTCATTCGTATCTGAGTATCCGTTTAATTCATTTGAACTGTCTGCAACAGAGCGCCACCTCACACACACCAAACCACAACAACGCCCACTTGTTGAGGTGGTATATCTTGTGAGTGAAGCACCCCTCCTCAACATCTTGCCGAGCTCCGATTCATTCGTATCTGCATGTACAATTATTCATTCAATCATCTGCGACAGAGCACCTCACACCACACCAAACCAACACACACCCATTTCTTGAGGTGGTATATCTTGTGTGTGAAGTACCCCTCCTCAACATCTTGTGAGAACCGATTCATTCGTATCTGCATATCCGATTGTTCATTCAACCATCTGCAACAGAGCACCTCACACCACACCAAACCAACACCCACTTGTTGAGGTGGTATATCTTGTGAGTGAAGTACCCCTCCTCAACATCCCCTCCCGCTTCCGAGCTCTTCTCGTTCTCTTCCTCTCCCGTCTCATCTCCCCCTTCCCATCCTTCCCCCGCTTTTCCCTCTCTCACATGCCTACTCTCCCTTACGCTCTTCACCGCATTACTCTCCGCCGCATTACTCCTCTCTGCACCCTTGCTGCTGCTGCTGCTGCTGGCGCTGGCGCTGGCAGCTTTGCTGGTGGTGGCGTCGTTGGAAGAGGAATCACAGTCTCCCATACTCTGCCTCCCCATGCTGCTCCCCCTTGCAATAACACCACCGCCACTTGTCCCAGAACTACCAGCACTACCAGCACTCTTTGACCCTTCCCCTCCCCCTCTCTGCCTGCTGAAGGGCTCATTGCACAGCACCTCCACTCCGTCACCATCGCTATTGTCACTCTCCCTCTCACTCACACGCACCACCATGTACAGCTGGCCTATGCGGTACTGGGATTGTGAAGGGGAGGGGGGAGGGCAGGGGGGGAGGGAGGGAGGGTGGGAAAGAAGGGGGGTTGGACAAGCAAGAAAAGCTAGTGAAAGGCCATGGGCCTTATGAACTAGTGAAGCTAGTTGCAGGGTGGAAGGGAGGCCATGGGCTAGAGAGATCCTGAACAGCTGCAGGTGAAAAGACGACTGGGGATGATGGGGAGAGGGCAGCAGGGTTGATAGCTACTGCTGTATGTGTGAGTGAACCAGCGTGAGTGGACAAGGATTCGGAGGGGAGGGGAGGGGAAGGAGGGTATCGGGATTTACTGAATGGCGGTTTTGCAGCAGAGGACGAAAATCATGTGTGTGTGTGTGTGTGTGTGTGTGTGTGTGTGTGTGTGTGTGTGTGTGTGTGTGTGTGTGTGTGTGTGTGTGTGTGTGTGTGTGTGTGTGTGTGTGTGTGCGTGTGTGTGTGTGCGTGTGTGTGTGCGTGTGTGTGCGTGTGTGTGTGTGTGTGTGTGCGTGTGTGTGTGTGTGTGCGTGTGCGTGAGTGTGCGTGTGTGTGTGTGTGTGCGTGTGTGTGTGTGTGTGCGTGTGTGTGTGTGTGTGCACGCGCGCACGAGAGAGAGAGGGAAAGCGAGGGAGAGGGTAAGAAATTCAGCACTCACCTCTTGAACAGAGAGAGGCATGGGGATGCGGCTGGACATGAGACACAAGAGACCCGCGTTTCCAAGTCCCAGAAAAAATGGGATGAGAGGGATGAGAGGGATGAGAGGGATGAGAGGGATGAGAGGGATGAGAGAGGGCACAGAAGGGGAAGACTGTGGTGAGTTGACAAGGAGTGGACATCCTTGTTGAGGGAAAAAGGACGACACGTTTCAGGATCCTGGCCCGGGAGCCAGCCAGGTGTTCAAACGAAGCATGCTTGATGAATAGTCCAGGAGAGAAGCCAGGGCAAAGCGGGGGGAAAAAAAATATCACCATACAAACGTACGACACGAAACCGTTTCTCTATCACCAACAAAAAATGGCCAGCATGGATGGACGCTCAGCAGGACAGCATTTGTCGCCAGGGGTAAAAGAATAAGCTCACTATTCACAAACGGTGACCATCTCGACCGTCCGATGCGGTCTGCTGGAATTGCGATCGACGCAACAGGCTTGATCTGATTGGCTCCTGCAGGATTGGGATCCTGCAGAATTTAGCAGGTCCTGCTGCTATCCCAGTCAGAGTCGTCACCTAGATCCTCCTGCTGCGATTCCAGCCAGACCGTCACCTAGAGCCTTTCTTGCGAAAGGAAAAAATCGCAGGAAACCTGGAGGTTCGGCCTCATAGAGATGGCTCAAAGGACTCTCCTGCACCGCAGCACTGTGAGCGCCAACCGATGCAGGCTATACCGAATCACACATCGCAGTAGGTTCGTTTCGCCCTAGCGAACTGAACTGCGCCGAGTTGAGTTGCGACTCCTCCGCTCCGCAGCAACAGTCGCAGCCCGCCTGCGGCCGAGCATGCTGCGCGCAGTCGCGGTCACGTTTTCCGCGGCAGCACGAGATTTGGTGGGGGAAGGCGGGCAGTTCGGGAGCGGCGGAAAACTTGCGGGGATGGCTGGCGCTATGGTACAGGCGGCATTTTGAAGCAGCACTCCTGCTTTCTGATTGGCCGAAATCGCCGAGCTGGTACGGTTTGGGGGGGATTTGTGATTGAGCCATGGGGCGTAGTCTCGTTGGCGGAACCCAGATTTGAGGTATGAGAGACCACGCTCAAAGAAACAGACGGCTACGATGACGGCACGAGCATGAACGAGAATCTGACTTGGCTCCGACTCGAGACTACGGGGTTTCCATGTTGGAGGTGACCGAATGTGGTCCCCGCATTGGGATTACCACAGCACCTCGCTTCAGAAGCAATGGTCGAGTCTGCTGGGCTGAGGATAAACCTAGTGTTGCTTGGGATTGTCGTGGCTTTGCTGAGGATAAACCTAGGCCTAGGGAAAGTGCTGCTAGGGCGTGTTTTAGAGACGCTGACACCTTTGAAGTCAGGGTTTGTAGAAGGGAAAGTACATCCGCACTCAGTATGAGGGTCCCAGCCATAACATTCGGTCAGTGGAATGCTGTAAATCATCAGAATTTGTGAGTTCGTCACACGGCTAGTCAGTCGGGTTCCACGTTTAGTCACTGACTGCTGGTAAACATTTCTACAAATGGTCAGTGGACGTAACACCCGGGGAAAGTATACAGGCGCTCAGTATTAAGGGCCTCGATAACATGTTCGGTCAGTGACAAGATATAAACAATCAGAATTAGCGAGTTTGTAACGTGTTCAATCAGTCGGGTTCCATCGTTAGTCAGAAACTGCAGGAAAAAAGTTCCACGAATGGTCAGTAAAAGTAACCCCCGGCCGTCGAGGAACGTTTTCCCGCTCGCGCCAGCCCAATTTCATCATCATTGCGGTTGACGTGATATTTTTTCCAAGCTCCAGGCGCAGTTCGAGAGAACTACGTAAAGTATTCCCAAATTAAAAAATCATAAGTATTCGTACACAAAAAAATCCAAAATTGAGACCTTCAGCATTTATATCGCATAAGAAAACTGGGTCACAGCGGGCCGCACATCAGGTGAGACATTTCTGAAATATTAACAAACAAAAAAAAAACGAAAACATTTGATACGAAAGGGCAAATCAATCAGGGATCGATGCTAAACCAATGGGGCTTGAATATTAAACTGTATTGCGCATGCGCTAATTTTTTTCGAGCATGACAAGTCTTGTAGAGTCGTGATTCAATGGAATTTTTTTCCGGCAAATACATTTGTTGGAAAAAAATCAAAAAACAAACACCAGACTTCTAATAGATTTGTTGTACTGAAATTAATAAAAAAATAAATATGATTCTAAGAGTATCTTGATGCGTTTTGAAACCTATTCATTTCGCCCAAAAAAAAATCTCCATACCTATCTATATATATTATTGTTTTCGGGTGACTCGGGAATGACAACAAGTTTATGGCTTGACTTTTCTTTGGGGTTATAAATGCGGTAGAGACAAAGCCATCATCTTTAATCATCGCGGGATGCGCTACTCTCTGTGACGAAAGTACGTGCTTCGAAACAAAATCGTTTTCCTTTTCGTGTTTCTCGACTAACAAATTTCAAATGAATTTTAATTTGGGCATTTTGCACTTCTTTCGCTCGAACTGTGTCTGGAGCTCAGGAAAAATATCGCGCCAGCCGCAATGATAACAAAATTGGGCTGGCGCGAGCGGGAGAACATTTCTTGACGGCCGGGGGTTACTTCTACTGACCATTCGTGGAACTTTTTTCCTGCAGTTTCTGACTAACGATGGAACTCGATTGATTAAACATGTTAAAAACTCGCTAATTCTGATTGTTTATATCGTGTCACTGACCGTACATGTTATCGAGGCCCCTAATACTGAGCGTCGATAAACCCTCCCTAACCCCCGCCCATTTTGGGTAGATTTCCTGCTCGTGGCAGCCCAACAACCAAATGACTGTAATAATTGCGGGTGGTGAGATTTGTTTCGCGCCAGCATTTCGCCCTCCCTCCAACCTCGGTTCTCTACATTTCGCCCTCGCTCCAACAACATTTCGCCCTCACTCCAATGCTTGCTACTGACATTTCGCCCTCTCTTCTTCAAATGTACAGTACCAAGCATTGTAGTAAGGGCGAAATGTACGCCCATGGGCGTTTAAAAAGGAATATATGATATATGTTTCTTCTTCACTCGCTTTGTTTCATGCAACGAGATAGTTTTTTACGAACATATACAGCTCATTCGTGCTGATAGCCCATTCGGCGATGCCAGGCTGGGTGACACGAATTTTGAAGCACGTCCGTAGGGAGCTTAGTGTCACAGAGATTCATGTCACCACTCACTTTCAGCGGGGGTTTTCGCCTCCGTGACACAACGTTTTGTCACACGAAGCCCTTTACGGATGCGCTCTTACTAGCGCGAAGAACTAACTGCGTATGGCGCTGGGACAGAGCCATAAATCTCGCTATCATTTGGACTCGTTCCTTCCCTCTGAGGCAGTGTTTTCGAAATAAAGAGGGGGGCGTAGTATAGGGCACATACTTAAAAAAAAAAGTAGGGGGGGCGTTTAATCGAATAATAGCTATAAGGCCCAAAGCATGAGGTAAAGCCTATAGGCCTTATCTACTACCAAACATATTGTTCTGTCTACACATATCAAGTTAGTCTATATATGTTTGTTATAGCATAGCTAGGTAAGTTCTTAGAGTGACAACATTCTTGTACTTGTATCTCCCCTCCCCTCTTCCTAGTCACATTTTTTCCAGCTACTCCAACATGGTATTGAGCTAGGTTAGATTTTTTTTCCGCCGTTACTGATGCTTCCGCATTAATATAACTTCTTCTTTTTTCGCGCGTGTGCTTCTCTCAATTTCGCGCTCCGTAGCCTCAACTCTCCGCCCCCCCTAGCGTTTGTACTGTTTCGTACGGCAGCCAGCAGGCTGGCAAGCCAGCCAGCACGCTAACCAGCAGGCTTGCCAGCAAGCCAGCCAACACGCTAGCCGTCACGCTAGCCAACGCGCCGGCCAGCTTATTAGCCAGAACGCCCGCCAGCGCGCTAGCCGGCCCGCTAGCCAGCGCCCTAGACAGCACGCCAGCCTTCGCGCCATCCAGCTAACCAGCACATTAGCCAGCTAGCTCGCTAGCCGTGTTAGCCAGCACGCCGCCAGTAGTCCTAGCCAGCTCGCCGCCAATAGTCCTAGCCAGCTCGCCGCCAGCAGCGTCTGCCAGTCGTCGCCAGAAATTGCTGCCAGCTCCTCGCCAGCAGCGCAAGCCATCTATCCACCAGCAGCGTCCGCCAACTTGCCGCCAGCAGCAGCTGTCAGCCACTCGCCAGCAGCACCTGCCAGCCACTCGCCAGCAGCGCCAGCCAGCTAGCCGCCAGCAGCGTGCGCTAGCTCACCGCCAACAGCTGCTGCCAGCTACTCGCCAGCAGCGCCAGCCAGGTCGTCACTAGCCAGCTCACTGCCAAGCCAGCCACTGCTGCCAGCTAGTTGCCAGACAACTGCCGCCACTGCAGCCACCATTGCCGCTGCAACCACTGCTGCTGCTGCTACCGTCACTGCTACTCCTGCCTGTGCTACTGCCACTGCCGGCGCTATTATTGCAACTGCCGCTGCAGGCATTGTCATTGCCGCAACCTCTGCAGCCACAGCCGCAATACCTTGGTCTTTACTCGGAATACCCATTTTCCCGAGAGGATGGTTTTCCTCTTGGTTTGAGAAATCGGTATCAGCTTCCAAGTGTTGCGTTCGTGCAGTATCGCTAACTCTTGATCCATTGCTTCCCTCCATTTCTCACTGTGTAGTTCTTCCAGTGCGCGCTTGACCGTCTTTGGCTCTTCGAATGGCGGCGGCTGAGGAGGGTGCATGGCTGCTACGAGGCCGAGGATTTGCAGACTAGTTTCGGTGTATCAGGGAAAGTGTCGGATCCTCGAGATAGGCTACTTCGTCTCCCGCTTCAGGATCAGGTACGAAACTTGGTCCAACTCGCTCTGAAACGTTGATGTCGATGCTGTGGGGTGTTACATAACCAGCATCGGCAAAATGGTAGTAGGCGTCTGCATTCGCTCTTACGCGAGGGTTTTCTTCGTCCATCGGCATATCAAAGGAGTAGACGGAAAGTGGTTTTGCATCTGCTGATGCGTCGCGGACGTTCTGCTCCTCCAGGTCAGCTTCTTCTTTGGTCGAAGCGAACGCGCGTCCTCCAGCGAAGCTACCGGATGGGTCCCGGTTGGCTGCGATGTTCTCCAGGTAATAGTTAAGGGTGAGGTTCTCGTAGAAAATGACATCACGTGCTGGTACTATTTCCTTATCTTCCACATCGAAGATTTTCCAAGCCTGGTAGTGTTTTTCCACACCGAGGTGTAGACCCCATCTTGCCCGCTGCGAAAATCGTCCAGCTCGTGCACTGTGCGGACGGTACTGTACCATGCAGCCGAACACTCGTAATTATTTTGTGCTTCCCTGCGTCCCTGTCTACAGCAGATGTGGTGATGAGTTGTTTGGCAGGGAGCTTGACGACATAAGATTCTGCAGCATGACGGCGTGATTCATCGCCTCAAGCCACTGCGATTTGGGCAGACGCATCCCAGTCAGCAGCTTTCTCATGGTGTTCTGGAGGGTTCGGTTTATCCTCTCCGCTACACCGTTCTATAGGTAAGCATAGGGGAGGGTGATGAGCCTCTTTATTCCCCTCTCAATGAGGTAGTCCTTGAATCGCTGTGACTGATATTCCATCGCCCCGTCCGACTGATTATTTTTTTAGCTTCGTGTCTCCCTCCCGTTCTGCTGCGGCAAGCCATGCGACGAAGGCAGAGAAGGCGAGGTATCGTAAGGGTAGGTTAAGATGTAGGGTGTATCGTGTCGCGGCATCGACGAAGGTAATAACATAGTTGAGGTCGGTCCGGCCGACTTTTCGCGGAATATACATTATATCGCTGTAGACCTTTTTGAGTGGAGCGTACTCCGGTGCGCTCGGATAGTGATGCGACAGAAATGGTTGACGAGGAAGATCTGCTTCTGCGCAGATAAAGCATGGACGTCAAGGTCATCGAAGTTCACGTCCATCGAGTAGTAGAAGCGCATCTTTGTCCAGGACATTCGCACGAATCGTATCGAATAGTCTTGAATTTCCATGATGCCCTAACCGTTGATGCCAAATCTCTTCGCTTGCCTTGTGTCCCACAGATTGGCGATACAGGTCCCAGTTTGTGTAGAAGGCGGAGACGGTTGTGGTGCTTCGATGCTGCTCGCGGCGATGCGCCTTCAGCTGCTCGGCGTCGGTTGGTGGTGGTTCTTCGACGGGTTCCGTTGCAGGCGGAGCTTCTTCGACGGGTGGCGCTGACGAGGTCCCAGCAATGGTACTTGTAGGAAGTGGTCT